TATTTGCAGGAATGGTAGCCCAAAACAAATAAAAGTCCAACACTTTACTGTTCGATATTCAAAAGCTTTCCAAATTCTCTAACATTTGATGTCAACACAACAGTTATCACAAATTGTATATTTTATCCCAACTAAGAATAACACTCAGTACTTTCACTCCGAAACAAAATAGTATTGCATTGCCCTTGTTACGATTTGCTACCCTATCACCAATGTAAACAACAGTACATACGAAATTGACTTACAATAAAAAATATGAAAATATCAGCTGTAATGCCTATCTGTCGAAAAGGAACCATTGTAAGCAAAATACAAATATAAGCCACAAATCCACAAAAAGTAGTTCTTGAAAAATAACAAATCCAGAACAGGTCCCGAAAGGCGTCAACTGATGAATAATTGAACTGGATGTCAATGAAAGAAAACTAAGTCACTATTCCAAGATGTTAGTGAGATAAATACAATTAAATATACATACTATATGTCACTAATAGACCCAGAGGCAATCGCAGCCACGTGCTCGCGTGTAATATCAGTTCATTCTAGTCGATCATAGCATGAAACTAACACACTCGCCTCGTGCCATTATATCCCACTTGTCAGAAGAATGCTCCTGATATTATCAATGTTATATTTCAGATTTCTGTGGAAATATTTTGATGTTCAGTATGAGATAACCTATTTATGATGAGAAACCGTTCGATATCTCTTTTTTATTCTCGTTGATATTTTGCTTTGAAATCTTTATGTTAGGAAACGACTGGTGAATTTTGTTCAAGAAAGTAATTGTTAACTAAACGCACCATCTTCACAATGTCAAGAACTTCATACTTATACCTTGACTGCAATAGTCACCTTTTGTATCATGGAAGTGTGTAAATAAAGCGATATGATTGGATTGTACGCTAGCGAATACGGCCAGTTAGATGCCTCGACAGAAAGTGTGTAAACATAAAGTAATAAGTGTACATCCTGTCTGACAATGGCTCTGATTGGTTGTATTCGCTGTACAAGGATGACAAAGTTCTGTTGAAACATGTCTTGGTTTACTAAATGTTCCAGAACCAAACCTCCTGGTAGCGATCTTTCCCGGATTAAATGTGCTTGTTAACATTTGAGTCTATTGGAATAAGGAAACAATATTTCCATTTCAGTAGACTGGCACATCGACTGAGACTGAACACCACAATCAAAACCATATTTCGACGTTACAAGAAAATGACTTCATGGTATTTCAACATCCTCATGGACTTAGCTACAGTCCTTCCTCAGAATCTATTGATCTCTGAAATCATATCCCCATCAAATTGATTCTGTTAAATTGAATGTTACTCATTATTTTGTCGTTGTAGCAAGCGAAGTGTGTAATGTTCTATATTAAAATGATATATTTCACGTCCATTTAATCGATCTGTGTCTTTCATTGTCAATTATTAAGACAAATTCGCTTGTGATGATTGGAACATGTATTACAAATCTGACCAAACCTTAACTTGGAAATTGCCAATTATATAGTCGTAATGAATAACAATTAAATTATTGGCATATAATTTGCACTGAATGCCAAGTCGTTATTTCATTATACACACTAGGCTTCACACAAAGATGTATCTAGAAATAAAATGTGAGGTAACCGAGGCGAGGCCCAAGATGTCGAATCCCCGTAAGCTGCCGTAGGCCCCTTGAAGTCAACGGATTTCAGATGGCCTGCATTGAATTTTGAGCATTAAGAGGGCTTAATGTTCAATTCAAATTTGAACATTCACAGACCTGAGAGGGGACTTAGTGTGAAGGGGGGCATGCCCCAATGATCCACCTCCTAAATACGCCATTGTCTTCACACAATGTGCAAAATAAATATTTATCGCGGAAATACTAATGAAAATGTCACATCTATACGAAGCACCCCTTTTGTAGATAATAGAGGGAAGCAACTTTTTTTCAGATGTTTTCTCCTGGAGGTCCTTGCCTTTGACAGTTCAGTTTCCATCATATTCTGCTGGTCGAGGGGTCATTTTGAGCTGATCGACTACCACATTCAGTTTTTTAAGAAAGCACAAGCAACTATCGAATTCCCCTAGAGGGAAGTTGAAAGCTGAAGTTAAAATCAAGTTGCTTCATTATTCTACCAGGCCTTTGTAGATAATAGGAGGAAGCAACTTTTTTTCAGATGTTTTCTCCTGGAGTCCAGCAGTTAATAGCAGCCGTTGACAATTCAGCTGATGTCTAGATGTCGTCAGTTGAAAGCGGTAGTTAAAATCAAGTTGCCTCAAGATTCTACCAGTCCTTTGTTTTGAGCTGATTGACTACCACATTTGTTTCTTCAAACACTCCCGCAACTGTTTTTTCAGAGTCTACTAGACGTTGCAAGTTTCCAGCAGTCGATGACAATCAAGATGCTCCCTAATACCGCCCATCGTATTGAGCTGGTAGACTACCACATTTATTAAAGTAAGTGGCGTCAACTGAAGGTGTCTCAGTGAGTTAGACGCTTGCTGGCTAGCCTGAAGGTTCAGGGTTCAATCGCCACATAGGTCGAGATAATACTTTCAGATTTCGGTTTCCCAATTTCAGTGATACAGGTAATAGGGGCTGATTTTGAAAAAAAGTCTCATTTAGGCTGTTGGAAATCGAAAAAGGGCAGGCTAATGCCGCTGTCTGGCAAAATTTCCCTCATTGCACCCTGTATGTCGTTTCCCGTCTTCATCAGCCGACACGGTGTAGAGAAGTAGGACGTTAAACTACCTTCATTTCATTTTCATTTTATTTCCCAAATTCCACAAGTTACAGTGTAATACTAAACTGCTCGTAACTGCTAACAAAAGGTCATTACAATGTCATATCGCCTTATGTCAAAGTGAATGTGACGTCGACTTCAAACCCTTGTCTGGAAACAGACAGCATTTCCCAGATAAATAAGTAATAATGTATTGAAAAATCTGGAAAATGTTAACATAACCTAGCAATATTTCTATGTGAGAACATACATAAAGCACATCAAACACATTGCCAATTCTCTCGAGTAAAACCCATCACAGTAAATTGGAAAATCTAAAAAAAAACCTGACAAAAACACTCTCAAAGAAAACATGGCTTCAAAAGTGAAAAGAATTTAATTGAAATTGGAAAACTGTTAGCAAGATACGTCTGAACAAAAATAGTACATAGATTGAAATCATCTCCCTTACTCTTTCATGTATGTTGATTAAATTTGATAAACACTCTGTTTCTTAGGAGAGATTTTATGCCGCCTTTGTCAAGTAGCTTTCGCAAAACATTTGTCTTTCCTGTAGTTACTTATGTCAAGACCAACTTCAAAAGTGAATGAGTTTTACGTTCTTCTTATTGTGCTAATGAAGACCAGCAACGCCATGCAGTGTATTATTGGGGAAAGTTTTGCTGGACATTTGCCTACTCTTTTTCAATTTTCAACTGTCGATTAATTTACATGCACAGCCTGTAGCACACAAATTGAAATTGGAAAGCTGATTAACTTTGAACTACAATAGTACATACACTGCACTCATCTCTCCAACTCTTTCATGTAATTTGATAAAATTTGATGTACACTGTTTATAACAGTGATTCCCGCCTCATTCTATAAGAAGCTTTTGCAAATCGTTTGTCTTTCCTGCAGTCACCTAGCTTCCTATTTTTTGTAGTAGGTCGAATCGCTCAAGCCTAGCTCGTCTTCAATTTACGGCCAACGTATTGACGGTCATAATTTTTTTCAACATTTCTAGATTGATGTATATTAAAACTGGAATTTGAGGTAAACGTCAAAATCTAAAGTTACTGGTCGGTCAGTAGCAGTATATATTACCAACTACCCAGGAAGCTGTAAACATCACAAATCCTATACCTGTCAGAAATATAATATCAGTCGTCCAGATTTGATAAATATCTTTTTAACTTGATATTCCTAAATAGTTTGAACCATCTCGGGTTTATTTTGTAAAGGTCGCAGTTCATCGTGAGGATGTCAAACGGCGTTATGACCTTTAACGACCTTGTCAAATCAAAAATCGAACACCAACCAAATGAGAGCAAGGGAAATGTTTATGGTAAATAAATCAAAATCATTCAGGTTAAGTCCAAAAATTATTCTTGATTATTTCATTCGAATTAGCATGGGTCACTCAAGGCAGTTAAAGACGATGTTTGTTTTCAACATTTTGGAACTTAAAGGGAAGTAACTTGTCATACTCTAGTTCTTTGCCAAGCGCATATGATTTGATACTTCAGGCCCTTCTGATTTCTAGCTTAATCGAGTTATTTGAGATGGGATTTGGATTGTTACCGCTTACAAGTTTTTACTCTCATTGAAAAAGGACTGAAAATAGGCATTTCACTGGACAATTTATTTGACATCCATAACCTTTTGCTATATAAAAATTTAATTACATAAAAAATAACATATGAAGAGCAAATTATCAAGGTTTTCACTAAATTGTTACTTATCAATAAATTGTTGTTGCTTATCACTACATTGTTGTTGCTTGTCACTAAATTGTTGTTACCTATCACTAAATTGATGTTACTTATCACTATATTGATGTTGCTTATCATTACCTTGTAGTCGATTATTACTACCTTGTTGTTGCTTATCACTAAATTGTTGCTGCTAATCGCTAAATTGTTGTTGCTCATCACTAAATTGGTGTATATCACTAAATTGTTGTTGCTCATCACTAAATTGTTGCTGCTAATCGCTAAATTGTTGTTGCTCATCACTAAATTGTTGCTGCTAATCGCTAAATTGTTGTTGCTCATCACTAAATTGTTGCTGCTAATCGCTAAATTGTTGTTGCTCATCACTAAATTGCTGCTGGATGTTTATGTATATTATTGTAACAGAAACTATGGATTCAACCATAAATTTGGCACACATTTAGACAATTGCAATGCATTTATGGAATGTTTCAACAAGATTCTCTAGGTATATCATGTCCATTTGTCAAGAATTCTAAACCATTCATTCAACAAAAACAAACATGCATACAATTTGCAACAATGTCATATTATTGACAACGTCTTATAGAAAAAGAATGAAACAATGGTAACAAATCTAAATGGGCGATCGCTGGGGTTCGACCATAATCTCATTAACTCCCACGTAAGATGGTTGAAGAACAGCATATTCTACAGCTTTAGCTACGTCATCAGCTTCTAATATTTTACACGTTTCGCTTCCATCGAACTCCTTCTTGGCCTTGAACATAAAGAATATTTTTAGTTTAGTTTAGACCTTCAAAGATAAGGATGTGATGTAAATTTTGACCAAAAGTGGATTCGATTTGTAATGGCCGCCATTCATAAAAAATAGTCAAGCGACCAAAGTTGGTTCTGACTCATTCACATTATCTACTGAAACTAGATTTTTTTTCGCAGACTTATAATATCATAATGGCTTTGAGCATATTTCTATGCTTGGTTTGAATGAAATTCTGGATGTATTTTGGTGAATGACACCTAAAGCAACTCTGCAACTTTTTCTTTCGGAGAGCCCAAATTGCTGTTACTTTGGAAATCTTATTTTTACAAAAGTGTAGATCACGGCTTTGTGGGCAATATTTTGTTCGGGAGATTTTAATCAATTCAGACAATTCAGTAGACTCACCTCTAAATCTGTGGTGTGTTGAAGAAGGTTAGTTTTGACGTCACCAGGTTGAATACACGTCACACGTAATCCATACTCCTTTACTTCATGACGTAAAGCTTGAGATAAACCTTCTACATAAAACTTGGTACCTGAATATACTGCTAGACCAGGAAATCCCTGCAAATATAGCCAAAATCATAAGGGAGACTCAAAGCAAGGCGTTATAACATGCGTCGATTACTGGTGCACAATAGAGTATGTGGACTAATATTCATCTGCTTGTATAGAATATCAGTGATGATAGACCATGAAAACACTGAGTTTATAACTCTGAAGATCATCTACATCCGGACATCAACTGGAACCATGGAATGTCAAACACACTATCGTGAAGGTCTTTTATTGACAAAAAACTAAAGCAGATGTGCAAAAAAAAACTACTCTGTGAACCAAACAATTATTCTTCTCCCAAAATTACTTCCTAGAGAAACTATCATCAAACTGAAAAGCAACAGCACAGATAAAGCAACAAAACCCTTTTAAACTTACCCGCTTACCGGCGTCAGATGAAATATTGACAATATGACCTTGCTTTCTCGATATCATTCCTTCTAAAACAGCACCAACACACGTCGTTAAACCCTGCAATAGACAAAATGTCAACAAACCCTGTTTATCTTAGTATATGGATGAACATTTTATGATGAACTTGATCAACACAAATATGAGGCAACGAAAAAAATGATATAGAACAATAAAATATTATAATATACGTGAAAGCGATGGTAATTGAAATTTGAAGTTGATGTCGGTACTTCACCACTTTAGTTCAGTCGTTTAGTATCTTTTGATGATGTTCTTCAAGACTTTATAAAAAATAATGTAACATGCACTGAACTTACCTTACAGTTGATGTCAATCTGTTGTTCCCATTCATCATAATGTAAGGATTTCATATACGTATAATACATAACTCCTGCTGAATTAACTAAAATATCTACTGGACCTAAGGATAATTCTGTATGACGGACCATTTCAAATACCTAGAACGGATGAGCTTGTGGTTCATAAAACTTATGATATGATCTGAACGGAAAACATTCAAGTCCAATTGCTTTGCTTTGACAGCACCTATTCGCACCATTGCCATTTCCAGCCCAAAGCCCGAGATGATACTTTAGGTGCCTCTTAGGCAACCTTTTTTGACTGTGCGAAAAATGGAATTGGGTGTCAGCAACGCGCCAAACAGGTACTAAGAGTTTTGGAGCTTTAGACCAAAGATCATGAGATATTGATTATGTAAAGAATATTTACTGTTGGCTTACCTCGTCCCGTTTGGTTACATCGGCTGCAACAGCAATGCCAATTCCGTTTTCTTCTTTAATTTGTTTCACATACTTCATTAATTCGCTTTCACGTCTGCCGACCAAAGCTATTTTCCCGCCAAGTTTTGCAAGTCTCGTTGCTATGGCTGCACCAATTCCGCTTGAAGCGCCAGTCACCATTATAACTTTATCTGATAAAGGTTTCAATCCTGAAAAATCAAATTTTAGCTGTTAAAGATGGTTTTCCTTATTTTTAGCGTCCCATTAAGCAAACTATTTTATTAAATGGTGTTTTTTTAATGAATATTCATGTATTCTTAATCCTATCATATGTTCTTCTAGCAAGAGTTTTTACCAATAACAAATGTCCATGTGCGTACAGTCTAGATATACAAAAAAAGACTTTTTGACCTTTCTTGATCGGTCACTCATTGGAATTCTGCGGGTAATTCTCTTCTAATTTAGCTAATTATGAATAAATTATGGACATGTAAGACAAACTGGTATTTTTCCAAATCATTAGGACACCTCTACTTTCTATTCATATAAGTATTAGCATTTTCATTTTCATAAATGAAAATAAGGGAACCCATCTTTTAACTATCCAAACGAGCATTACGTGTTCTGGCATTAGATGAGCTCTAATGAATTATATGAGTCGCAGGTTTCGTACATATTTCCATACACCCAAAGTCTTACATTGTAAAGCTAAATTCAATTTCCTACATATCATTAAAATAAGAGAAGTCGATTTGAAACCCTAAAACGTTGAAAGATCGGAGCATGGCTAATTCGGGATCATACACACAAGCAAAGTACGGACGATATGATGAAGACGAAATACTTGGTTGGAATTAGATTAAGTAAATTCAAATTAGTTGTGTTAGGAAATAAAATCGACTAGGAACACTGGTGTCGGTCAAGGACTGAACAACACGTGCATCGAACGCACCTTAGTTCTTGAAGTAAAACATGTGGTGATCACAACCAAATTTGGTTCATGCCCATTTCACACAGTTAACATGGAAATAATTATACAGATCTATGAATATCAAACCTGAATTAGAATCCGCCATGTTGTTGACATTGAAAATATTTCACACAGCGAAGTAAGTTTTCATGTAATAATATTTTGCTCTACTTTCGATTCATAACCTTATCGGTTATAGCTGCGTTCGTTTACTAGACAGACACGCGTGCCACGAGTGTCGATATGGTGGTAATATAGACGAATAGAACGGGCAAAACCAATATACAAACAAACCGTACAAAGATGAAGTTTCTTCATTCGGGGATGACGTGTCCGTCTCCAAAGCCCAAAAATAACTCAAAGAAAAGCAGGACGTAAAACTCCATTTCTTACCTGAAAGATGATGTCTGGTATGGACTATAGTTCCTCTTGAAGACAAGTTCTTGAAGTAGATTTGAAGCAAGGCAGTATCTGTGTAAGGGTAAGAAAGTCCACACTGACTCAAGGCCTGGTGGAAATTGTTCGTGGCCAGTGTTTGTGGATTCTCTACAAAATTTTCATACCTAAAGAAAAATATAGAGAAATTTTGCTTGCTTGATTACCATTCTCGAAAACCTTAACGATACAAGTCGTGAGGACGGTAGTTTGTTCTGAGATGCAACTTGCTTTTTATTGGAGATTCGGATGCACCAAACAACCAGACCCTGTAATTAATCTTTATTTCTTGATTAGCTCTGGGTTAGATTTTCCGAAGTCGATCCAAATAAGGCATACCTAATAATATGATTATTGGTTCAAGTGAGAGTTATAAGTCGCGAAAAATATCAATTCAATGTAGGATACATTTTATTTCTATTAGTGTAATTGGTTGCGAAACAATAATACATATAAAACCTGTAGTTTTTAATAAACCTCGAGATAACTTACTTCAAATATGAATCAAGAAGAGCCACCAGTTTTACATTATCACTACTAGATTTATTCAATAGATTTAACACCCTATGAAAGCAAAAATATAATTGACAAAGTTTCTGTCTTTAGAATGGGACCTCGATCCACAGACATGGGATGGGTAACTGTCAAGGAATTTAGATTCAAATGTTTCTAACTTGCAATGGCCAACAAACGTCTTTAAAAATGAAATACCCTTATCATCACCAAATTCATAAAAGCAAAATTATAGAAAGACGGACACAGTAAGAACAGTTTAGTATGCTTTGAAAGACTTACTTGGTTTTCCATTCCTGGAACTGCAGCAGCTCGAGATTATAACCATGTGAATTCATCCATTCAAACACCCATCTACATGAGAAACCAAAAAGTTAATGGTCGTTCTGTTTTTGTCAGCATTGGTTTTAATTGCTTACTTTAGCCTTTGGTAGCCTTTGTCAATTAACTTCAAATAAGTTCATTTTTTTGGGGATGTAATTGTATTGTGTGTAAAGTTATCTTCTTCACAAATATTCCTTATCTCGCGGATTGGGTACAAGAGTTGATCAAAAGACATAAATTCGATCGAAAAAACAAACCTTGATTCTAGTGGATTGTCATTAATTACATGGAAGATATTTTTAGTTGATAATGACGGTCTCTGGACAACGTTGACTATGAATTGTGCAGCAAAGTCTACAGGAGTCATCTCCATCTTCCAGTCTACTAATGGCGCCAGAGCACTGTTAGCACAGGTCTTCAATAGTATCAGAGTGAAATCTTGAGGATTCCAATAAGCAGATTTACTATCCCCTGACATGTTTCCTATTTGAAAAAAAATGACACAGCCAAATTAGTAGCCAAAGAAAATTGTCTTTATCCAAACCGTGCTAAAATTCAAAGCGTTATTTCAGAAAAAAAAAACGCAAACCATGATTGATTCTTCAAAGAAACCACGGACAACCTTAGCAGGTGGCGCTTACGTGCCCCCATAACCTTTGGACCATAACTGGTATCTTTGTCCAATTGGCCTGTATGTAAACTAACTGTTGTGTAGTTGATTTTTATCAGTTACATCCGAATGGAACTTCATTTTTCTTTACCGTTTAGACAAATGTATTGTCTTAATTTGACGACCGATAACTAAGACTTCTGTTTTTTCTTTATATAGAATGACCCGAATACGGCTTGAGAGCCGATGAGATATCATCACTATCAGGGTACCATCTTCCAGGGTTTGATTTCATATATTCTGATATTGTGTCTAGGTTCAGCATGCCCATTTTAAGCAAGGGAACTAAATATAACCACCTCTCTTTCAGTGTACATACCTAATCTGTAGATGGTTGTTGGAAGTCCACGAGCCTCTGCTAACTGTACCAGTCTCTCAGCGACCCATTTAGTTTGGGAATATCCATCAGTAAGTCTATCATGAAATTCTTCGATGCTGGCGTTTTCTTTAAAATTTTGGACACCTTGAGCAATGACAGCATTTGTGCTACAAAAAAATTAAATCAGTTGTAAACTGAAGAAGGTGATGTTCGTTGCGGGATATTTGGGACAATCCAGGAAAACTTTTGGAGTTATTGGCAAAAGTATTTGATAAAGGCTAAATATTACCTTATATAATGTAGTGGTTTTATTTTTCCAGTACAGGCAAACCTTATAACATTGTATGTTCCAAGAACATTGGGCCCATGTAAAGCCTGAAATTAAGCACAGTATAAATCCAGATGAAACCATAAACATGCAATAGCTTTCGCAAAAAATGAAATTATGTTGTAAATTATATATTGTAGTGGCGATTGCTTACTTTTTTCGAAACTCAAAACACCTCATGTAACTTCTCGTTTGAGGATTTCACTACTATACAATTATTGCTCCCGATTTTGTCTTGCTTTGGAAGAGATTTTTGGCGAACAGAATTGTTTTGCTTGTACGGATTTTTATAAAAGCTCACCAATGCATAGTGAAATTAAGTCATCAATGGTGACAAGAGGAAAGATTTCAATTTCGGATCGACCATCACATCGAAGAATGGAAATGAAATTGGAAATAAGCCATTTCAGTACGGTACATAGTAGACCAGACAAGTACCTGATATGGATAGGCTAAATTGACTGCAGCTGCAGCATGGATGATAAAATCCACATCAGTACAGAGGTAGGTGTAGTCTTCCTCTGTCATTCCCATTTTAAATAGAGATATTTCACCTAGAATATTAACGATAATCATAATAATAATATCTTTATTACAAAAGGGTAAAACAAATTTTTGGACTCGGTGCTTCTCTAGCTCTCCCCCAATGTGCATAAAAGTGATCTGAGCACTTTTTTTTTTGGAAAGGTGCCAAAAAATCCGGTTTTTCATGGACAAAACTAAAACGCTCAGTGCTTCCAAAGTAAGGCAGATATGGAATCGCGGTTTGTGGCATTGCAAAGCTAAGATTTCAAACTAGTACCTGTCAAAATTTCATCATCATATCTCAACTGGTTTGACCCTGGTGAAGCTGCAAAGTTTGGATTTTCAAAAAAGGCAAAATTGGTAAATTTCAACAGGTAGCTACCTGTGGTACCAAAATCCATTTTTGGGTCGAATTTTTTTGGTCTCGGAAATCGATGTTACCCGGTTTTTTTGGACTCGGTGCTTCTCTAGCTCTCCCCTAATGTGCATAAAAGTGAATTCTGAGCACTTTTTTTTTGCGGAAAAGTCCCAAAAAATCCGGTTTTTCATGGAAAAAACTAAAACGCTCAGTGCTTCCAAAGTAAGGCAGATATGGAATCGCGGTTTGTGGCATTGCAAAGTTAAGATTTCAAACTAGTACCTGTCAAACTTTCATCATCCTATCTCAACTGGTTTGGCCGTGGTGAAGCTGCAAAATTTGGATTTTCAAAAAAGGCAAAATTGGCAAATTTCAACAGGTAGCTACCTGTGGTACCAAAATCCATTTTTGGGTCGAATTTTTTTGGTCTCGGAAATCGATGTAACCCGGTTTTTTGGACTTGGTGCTTCTCTAGCTCTCCCCCAATGTGCATAAAAGTGAATTCTGAGCACTTTTTTTTTTGCGGAAAAGTGCCAAAAAATCCGGTTTTTCATGGACAAAACTAAAACGCTCAGTGCTTCCAAAGTAAAGCAGATATGGTATCGCGGTTTGTGGCATTGCAAAGCTAAGATTTCAAACTAGTACCTGTCAAAATTTCAGCATCCTATCTCAACTGGTTTGGCCGTGGTGAAGCTGCAAAATTTGGATTTTCAAAAAAGGCAAAATTGGCAAATTTCAACAGGTAGCTACCTGTGGTACCAAAATCCATTTTTGGATCAAATTTTTTTAGTCTCGGAAATCGATGTAACCCGGTTTTTTGGACTCAGTGCTTCTCTAGCTCTCCCCTTATGTGCTTAAAACTGAGCAATTTTTTTTTGCGGAAAAGTGCCAAAAAATCCGGTTTTTCATGGACAAAACTAAAACGCTCAGTGCTTCCAAAGTAAGGCAGATATGGTATCGCGGTTTATGGCATTGCAAAGCTAAGATTTCAAACTAGTACCTGTCAAAATTTCAGCATCCTATCTCAACTGGTTTGGCCGTGGTGAAGCTGCAAAATTTGCATTTTCAAAAAAGGCAAAATTGGCAAATTTCAACAGGTAGCTACCTGTGGTACCAAAATCCATTTTTGGGTCGAATTTTTTTGGTCTCGGAAATCCATGTAACCCGGTTTTTTGGACTCGGTGCTTCTCTAGCTCTCTCCCAATGTGCATAAAAGTGAATTCTGA